TAACATGGTGACAAGGCACAGTGACAGAACACAGTGACAGAGCAGAGTGACAGAGAACACTGACACGGTGACATGGTGACACAGGCACAGTGACAGAACACAGCGACAGGGTGACAGAGAACACAGTGACACGGTGACACAGGCACAGTGACACAGAACAGTGACAGAGCAGAGTGACAGAGAACACTGACATGGTGACACACAGGCACAGTGACACAGAACACAGTGACAGCAGAGTGACAGAGAACACTGACACGGTGACATGGTGACACAGGCACAGTGACAGAACACAGTGACAGAGCAGAGTGACACAGAACACAGTGACAGCAGAGTGACAGAGAACATGGTGACACGCTGGCACACAGTGACACACACGCACTGGGCCCAGGCTGCCCCAAGCCTGGTGACTCTGCATCCCCCACATCAGGCTCAATATGAACCCACCATCAACTTCAATTCACAGGCCATGATGCGTTTGTCTAGTTCTGAGTTCAGATACAATCCTATCCTTAATATAAAAAGGCCTAAACTTAGCCAAAGAGAGCCCACCCTGGACGCACCTGGTGAGCCAGTGCCCGAGGTCAGGCCGGTGAGCCCCCTGCACGCCCGTCTGGTTCAGGGCCCGAAGCAGCCGGCAGCAGCACAGCACGGCCCAGGGGCTGGCTAGCACCATCCGCTGGTCCGTGCCACCCAGCCGCTTGAAGGCAGAGGCTGCCGCACGTGTCCTGTCGTCCTCTAGCAGGGCACAGCCCTTCGCTCCAACTGGCGTGGCCCCCTCAGGCCCTGGCTCCGTGTGCAGGCCACCCCGCGGGTCCCCGTCACTGCTGAGGAAGTGGTTTCTGTAGACTTCTTGACACAAGGCCAGACACAGGGTGCTGACGAGGAAGTACCAGGTCTGGTGTTCCTCCTCAATGAAGCTGCTCGCACCCAGGCTCAGGACGTGGCCTGTGGTCCCCAGAAGGATGAGGAGGTCCAGCTCCGACCACCGTGAGCTGGAAGGAGCAGGGCTCTGGGAAGAGGAAACGCACTCTGAGTCTGGATGTGGAGCACACCGTGCTGCGTGTGCTCACCAAAAACAAGCAACCAGAGACCCTGTCCTTCCTGTGCCCAGCGCCTCCCAGCTCTGCTCTGGGGGAATGTCCCTTCTCTGGACACAGTCCTGGGGACTCTCAACCTGGAACTCAAGTTGTGGGCAGAGTGGCAAAGGGACTGACTGCAATGAGAGAGACCACCCCCCAGTGGTCAGAGAGACCATCCCTCAGTGGTTAGAGAGATCACCCTGAGTCCTCAGAGAGACCACACCTCGGTGGTCAGAGAGACCACCCTGAGTTTTCAGAGACCACCCCTCAGTGGTTAGAGAGACCACCCATCAGTGGTCAGAGAGACCACCCCCGAGTCCTCAGAGAGCCTGTTCCTCCATGACCCACAGGCCTTTACAATCTCTGGTACTAGAGCCACAGGAATCTGCGTTTCCCTCTAAAAACTCAGGCACGTAATCTGATGACGCAGACCTGGATGTGAAATCAGGATGCCTGGGGGTTCGCACATGTGGTTGCTGCATTTTGAGAACTTCTCGAACTGCACCACTCCTCCCAGTCCCTCTGACACATGTGCTCCAGTGCCTGGGGTACTGAGGTTTGTGTGGTGCGCTGGGGTTCGCGTGGTGCGCTGGGGTTTGCGTGGGGCACTGGGGTTTGCCTGGTGTGCTCCAGTGCGTGGCGCGCTGGGGTCTGCCCGGTGCGCTGGGGTCTGCCCGGTGCACTGGGGTCTGCCTGGTGTACTGGCGTTTGCACGGTGCACTAGGGTTTGCTGGTGAGGGACGGGTGGGAGGACGACACAGTCTGCACAGAGTGGCAGTGCTGCCTCCTCAGGAGCCCTTACCTTCCCCACATGCTTCACACCGACCACCGTCTTCGGGAGTGCGGACACAAGTGCACACAGCAGCGCAGACATCAGCAGCATCGCACCCCCCGCAGCCAGCCAGGACACACTGCAGAAGTAGCAGGCGCTCTCAGTCGAGGTGCACACGACGACGTGGACGGCTGAGAGGACCAGGAGCGTCAGGTAGAAGAGCAGGGAGAACAGTGGCGATGACAGTGGCATGTCCAGCTCGGCCGCTGGGCCCAGTGCCTTTGGGACACTGAGCAAGAGCAGGGCAAGGACCTGGACAGAGAGACCACAGGTGTGTCCATGGACCAGGTTAGGAGACACCTTCTGCAGACCAAGCCAGGTACCTGATCTTACGTTAGCTGTCCTAACAGTAAAGCCCAATAAGGTTCCTAAAGCCTGATTTCCAACTAGCAGCCAAAAAGGCATGGCATAACCTGAGTGAGCCCACCTGACTCCTCTGTAAAACAAAGCTCAGCAAGACAGAAATTCCGTTTCCCCATGTTGAGTAAGGCCAACATTGCACATACTTTAAATGGCAATGTTCTGGTTGCACTTCCAACCCCTGTGAGCCGCACCTCCAGGACCAATGTGGTCCCCACTGCCATAGAGTAGATGTCGTACTGCGCCACCTGTCTGCTCAGAGACAGGCTCAGGGTCTGCAGGGCGTTCAGGTACTGCCTGAGGACCTTCGTGCCAAGGTTCAAAAGGACTTCTGAGCTATTCTCCTCCAAGTAGAGTTTGATCCAATTCCCATGCAACTTTTCAGACATTTTAAACTGTTCAAATCCAGGATCTAACAAGAAAAGAAAGAAGGCTATATATCTATGTATACACACACACACACACGCACACACACACACATATACACACACATATATACCATATACATGTATATATATAATTTCAAAATATTCAGTTACTCGTGGCATATTGTAAGGCCTTTAAGAACTAACAGCTGATGAAGATGAGCTACTCCTTAGTGAGGAGATCAGCAGCTTCACTGGCAAAGATGTAAAAGGTGAGAACGCTCATCTACCCGCTCATAACCCTCCTCGCCCAACCAACAGCACTGCCCAATGCTTGGAATCACAGTACACAGATGGACAGAAATGTAGAAATGTCTGCCCTTGTAGAGCTTACATTCTCATGAAAGAAAGGACAATAAGCAAAATAAATAAGTAAAATCTGGAACATCTGTGCTGTGGAGAAAAGCAAAGCAGGGGAGGGGCCCAGGAGTGTTGGGCTTTTCTGAAAAAGTAACATCTGAGCAAAGATCTGGAGTTTCATTTCTAATTTTTCTTAACTATTTGTAAAATTTTCCTGTTTGAAAACAACAACAGCAACAAAAACCCAGAATACCTTTCCCACTCCCAAAGTTCAGCATGTTGCCTGACTCAGGAAATAAAGATTGACGTCTTCTGCCTATGCAAATAAGGCAGGTGACTCAGCTGGAGCAACAAGGATACATCAAACTGGGCCCTGGGCTATAAAAACAATAGCTAAGACAATCTTGGAAAACATCTTTTCAGAAATTTTTCATACAAACAAGATACTTACAGCATGTAAGACCCACCTATTTTCCACTCTTATTTTTTTCCCTTAGCATTCAGTAAGTAGTAAGATTTGTTGGACCATCAAAGACCCTCCTGACTGTCATTACTGAAACTTGTACCAGGGATTATTAAGAAAAACCACTTAAAATGTAGACTTACAGTGATTTAGCAGTTTGTAGCCAATCTGTGAAAAGGCAAAGCTTTTAATGTTCTTACCCATTTGTAGTGTCTATATACACCCCCCCGTCGGTCAGTTCGTCACACTGTGGTGGCTGGTGTGTCGCTGTGATACTAGACGCTGTGCCACTGGTATTTCAAACACTAGCAGGGCCATCCCTGGTGGACAGGTTTCAGCAGAGCTTCCAGACTAAGACAGACTAGGAAGAAGGAACTGGCGGTCTACTTCTGAAAAAACTGGCCAGCGAAAACCTTATGGATAGCAGCAGAACATTGTCTGATGCAGTGCCAGAAGACGAGCCCCTCAGGTTGGAAGGCATGCAAAACATGACTGGGGAAGAACTGCTTCCTCAAAGTAGAGTCGCCCTTAATGATGGGGATGGAGTCAACCTTTCAGGATCTTCATTTACTGATGTGACACAACTCAAGACGAGAAGAACAGCCGCAAACATCCATTAATAACAGGAACGTGGAATGTACGGAGTATGAATCTAGGAAAACTGGAAATCATCAAAAATGAAATGGAACGCGTAAAGACAGATATCCTAGGCATTAGTGAGCTGAAGTGGACTGGTATTGGCCATTTTGAATCAGACAGTCATACGGTCTACTATGCTGGGAATGACAAACTGAAGAGGAATGGCACTGCATTCATTGTCAAAAAGAACATTTCAAGATCTATCCTGAAGTACAACACTGTCGATGACAGGATAATATCCATATGACTACCAGGAAGACCAGTTAATACGACTATTATTCAAACTTATGCACCAACCACTAAGGCCAAAGATGAAGAAACTGAAGATTTTTTACAAACTTCTGCAGTCTGAAATTGATAAAAAATGCAACCAAGATGCACTGATAATAACCGGTGATTGGAATTCGAAAGTTGGAAACAAAGAAGAAGGATCAGTAGCTGGGAAATACGGCTTTGGTGATAGAAATGACACTGGAGAAAACATGACAAAATTCTGTAAGACCAACAAGTTAATCACTGCAAATATCGTTTTACAACAACATAAACGGCGACTATACATGTGGACCTTGCAGGATGGAAAACACAGAAATCAAATCAACTGTATCTGTGGAAAGAGATGATGCAGAAGCTCAATATCATCAGTTAGAACAAGGCCAGGGGCTGTCTGCGGTGCAGACCATCAATTACTCATACGCAAGTTCAAGCTGAAGCTGAAGAAAGTTAGAGCAAGTTGATGAGAGCCAAAATATGACCTTGAACATATGCCACCTGAATTTCGAGACCATCTCAAGAACAGATTTGACATATTGAACACTAATGACCAAAGACCAGATGAGTTGTGGAATGACATCAAGGACATCAGACATGAAGAAAGCAAAAGGTCACTAAAAAGTAAGAAAAGACCAAAATAGATGTCAGAAGAGACTCTGAAACTTGCTCTTGAACACCAAATAGCTAAAGCGAATGGAAGAAATGATGAAGTAAAAGAGCTGAACAGAAGATTTCAAAGGGTGACTTGAGAAGACAAAGTAAAGTATTATAATGACATGTGCAAAGACCTAGGGTTAGAAAACCAAAAGGGAAGAACATGCTCAGCATTTCTCAAGCTGAAAGAACTGAAGAAAAATTCAAGCCTCGAGCTGCAATTTTGAAGAATTCTACAGGGAAAATATTGAACGATGCATGAAGCATCAAAAGGAGATGGAAGGAATAAAGAGTCACTGTACCAAAAATAACTGGTCAATGACCAACCATTTCAGGAGGTAGCATGTGATCAAGCACTAATGGTACTGAATGAAGAAGCCCAAGCTGCACTGAAGGCATTTGCAAAAAACAAGTCTCCAGGAATGGACAGAACACCAATTGAGATGCTTCAACAAACAGATGCAGCACTGGAGGTGTCACTCATCTATGTCAAGAAATTTGGAGGACAGCCACCTGGCCAACTGAATAGAAGGGATCCATATTTGTGCCCATTTTAAAGAAAGGTGATACAACAGAATGCAGAAATTATTGAACAATATCATTAATATCACATGCAAGTAAAATTTTGCGGAAGATAATTCAAAAACAGTTGCGGCAGTACGTCGACAGGGAACAGCCAGAAACTCAAGCCAGACTCAGAAGAGGACGTGGAAGGAGGGCTATCACTGCTGATGTCAGACGGATCCTGGCTAAAAGCAGAGAATACCACAAAAATGTTTACCTGTGATTTATTGACTATGCAAAGGCATCTGATTGTGTGGATCATAACAAATTATGGATAACACTGCAAAGAATGGGAATTCCAGAACACTTAATTGTGCTCATGAGGAACCTGTATATAGACCAAGAGGCAGTCATTCAAACCGATCAAGGGGATACTGTGTGATTTAAAATCAGGAAAGGTGTGCATCAGGGTTGCATCCTTTCACCATACTTATTCAATCTGTATGCTAAGCAACTAATCTGAGAAACTGGACTATATGAAGAACACAGCATCAGGATTGGTGGAAGACTCATTAACAAGCTGGGATATGCAGATGACACAACCTTGATTGCTGAAAGTGAAGAGGACTTGAAGTACTTACTGATGAAGATCAAAGACTACAGCCTTCAGTATGGATTACACTTCAACATAAAGAAGACAAAATCCTCACAACTGGACCAACAAGCAACATCGTGATAAATGGAGAAAAGACTGAAGTTGTCAAGGACTTTATTTTACTTGGATCCACAACCAACACCCATGGAAGCAGCAGTCAAGAAATCAAATGACATATTACACTGGGCAAATCAGCTGCAAAAGACCTCTTTAAAGTGTTGAAAAGCAAAGATGTTACTTTCAGGACTAAGGTATGCCTGACCCAAGCCATATTTCCAATCGCCTCATATGCATGCAAAAGCTGGATAGTGAATAAGGAAGACCAAAGAAGAACTGACACCTCTGAATTATGGTGTTGGCGAAGAATACTGAATATACCATGGAATGCCAGAAAAACGAACAAATCTGTCTTGGAAGAAATACAGCCAGAATGCTCCTTAGAAGCAAAAATGGTGAGACTTCGCCTCATGTACTTTGGACATGTTATCAGGAGGGACCAGTCCCTGGAGAAGGACATCATGCTTGGTAAAGCAGAGGGTCAGTGAAAAAGAAGACTCTCAAGAAGATGGACTGACACAGTGGCTGCAACAATGGGTCAAACATAGCAACAATTGTGTGGATGGCGCAGGACTTGGCAGTGTTTCCTTCTGTTGTAAACAGGGTCATTATGAGTCGTAACTGACTTGCTGGCACCTAATAACAACAACGTCATATATACTGATGACTCTGTAACGTTCCTCGGACTTGGACAGACATAGCTCTGGCAGCATGCTTGTCTGTTTCTCTTTTGTCTCTTGGAATATATGCCGAATAAAATCGTTCGTAATGCTTTACGGTAACTTTGTGGTGATTTTACCCTAGGGCATGCCCGACTGCACACACACCTGACCACCTCACACACCCTTCCTGGTCCAGCAGGCGGTGCTCACAGCTGGGTATCTGAATAAGGTTCAGAAAACCCAGCAATGAAATCATCTTTGGGCACGGCTCACTCACTGGAAAATATGCAGACCCCAGGCTAGACCCGGACATGGTGACCTAACCTGGCCTAAGAGAACGGGTGCTTTCTAGCCAAGACTCCCCAGTGGGCCACACTGGGAACACCGAACATTGGTGTGAGATGCAGCTGGCCATGGCAGGTGAGGAGGGGTCTCAGAATAGACTTCAAAGAAGGTAAAGAACCCCTGGGGAAGAAGTGGTTCTCCTTCAATTAAGGAGATTAAGTAATTAAGAAAGAGTGAGCATGAGGAAAAGGAGTCCTTTCTGTCCCTGTGCCAACGGAACTGAAACTCCCTGAACGAAGAGAAAAGTAATCCCCCCAAAAATCCTCCCCCAAAGGGGAGGGGAAAGAAAGGGGAGGAGAGAGGAGGTAGATGGAGGGAAGAGGATAGGAGGAGGCGAGAGAAGAAGGGTAGAAGAAGCGGGGAGGGGAGGGAGAAATTTCCACAAGAACTCGATTCAGATAACTGCATGGCTGTTGCTAATGGTGAGTTAGGGTTCCAAGAAAACAGGAACACGACCTATGTGTGCAGGGCCGACCACAAAGCACTCCTGTTACTAAACTCTCACCACAGGAACTCCACAGTGTTCAGTGGAAACACAAACTCCTTACAGGAGCCAGAGACAACTGATGGACTTACCTTTTTCATACAGTGGCACATTCTCTTGCAACAATTTGCTAAGCTGCACTGTATTTAAATGTAAAAATCTTAATTGTTCTCGCATTGGCTTTCCTTCCACAACCGGGAATAAAAGACGCCCCACGCTGTTTTTTGGAATCGGCAAGCCCAGCCCTATTGCCAGTGTCGCAGCCAGATCGGTCTGTTGGACGTGCTTTGGATGTCTGATATCACCTACAAAAAAGAATACAGTGTCTTAGGTGACGGCTTCCAGAAAGTGTAAGGCTGTGGACACTCCTGACTTTGAGCTTCTGTAACAAATGCGAGTCAAATCACCCACCTCTCCAAACCATTCAGTGTATGTTTGTCCAGAAAAGAGAAATCATCTAATGTTTTTATCTCAATTAATTTACAAAATACCCATTCTATGCTGACCACAGCACCTTCCCTGAAGGAGCTTGTTTCTATCTACTGGAGGAGACTAAAGCAAGACAGTCAGCATGGTGAGGGGACTGAGCACGGCCAGCAGGTGTGAGGGAGGGTCACTCCAGTGGATGCATGGAGAAAGCGCGGGCTCCTGGTCTGCTGGTCCCTTCTGGACAGAACACACTCCAGGCACTGCACTCTTCCACACACACAAACAGCCAAATGTGCTCCACTCTCAGGGGCTCCTGGACAGAACAGGATGAGGCCAGGCATGTGGCCAGGGCAGGAAACTCAGCCTGGGAGTTTTCTCCTTGGTGCAGACAGCAATCAGCTCAGGCCAAGGGCTCTGAAACAGGTACGACTTAGCACAGGTACGATACAGGTAAGACTCAGGTATGACACAGGTGCGACACAGGTATGACTCAGAACAGGTATGAAACAGGTACAACACAAGTACAACACAAGTACGACTCAGGTACGACACAGGTATAACACCAGTATGACTCAGGGACGACACAGGGACGACTCAGCACAGGTACGACACAGGTACGACTCAGCACAGGTACGACACAAGTATGACTCAGGTACGACTCAGGTACAAGAAATGTACGACTCAGGTATGATACAGGGGTGCGGGCAGCAAGGGCTGTCTTCACAGGGCAGGCGGGCTGGCCCATCCTCCAGTGCCTCAACAGGCACTTGTGGCAGTTTTACTTTGTGGTAGCTTTTAGCGGTACAGAATTTCCCTCTTTTTAATTGGTGGAATTTGTTAGCTTTCCTAGCCAGCCCTCCGCTGGTGGCTCTGGGCTCTCTGTTATACTCAGAATGCCCTTTTTCACCCCAACATTGCTGGCTGTGTTTTCTTCTTATACTTCCATAACTGCATTTTCTTACAATAAATGTTTTGATCCCAAAAAACAAAATCAAAAAACCCACCTTAAACTACTCTTGGTACTCATATTGTTTACTGTGGGATACAGCAATTGAGCAATTACGTGATATTCTAGTTCTATCATCTCTGAAGATGATAAGAACCAGGATTCTAAGCTTGGAAGAAAGGAAGCACAGATGTGAGCTCGACGACATTAATTTTGTAGTACTGGGTGTCAAATGAAGTATAATTCCTTGCTTTGTCCAGAAGCCTAGCCCAGGGTCAGTGAGTGCTCCAGCTCTGACAGTCATCCTCAAATCCCTCTTTCCACTGAGAGGAATGAAATCTTGACTGCTTCCAGGTCAAGAGGAGGAAGTGCTCATGACAGACTATCAGGGGCTGCCCAGGTCTTGTCCAGCAACTCGGAAGAGGTCCCACTGGCCAAAGATGGGGCAATTTGAATTTCATAAAGAGTAATATCCATAGTGAACTGAAACACACTGAATATGCTTAAATCTATGTGTTCATAATGATACTTAAAAAAGAAATTAGCCTAAGCGGTCTCATCGGAAGGATGCTAGTGAACTAATCCATTGACTTGAAACGGGTAACTGAGAAGAAGAGTAGATCATCGTTTTTCCTGTTTCTTTTATGGCACCGCTGGTTAGCCAAAAAGTACACAAGGGGAGGTTCTCTTTGTAGCAGTGTTCTGGCTAATCAGTGAAAGAAGAACTGTCCAATGTCACTGTCACACCTTGTGTCCTCTCGTGAATTAAGGGGCCGTGCTGATCACCTCCACATGTTAACATTAGTGAAGCAGATGGCCGAACGTCACGTGCTGCCTGATAGAAGGAGTCTTGCAAAAGCAAAAGGTAAGAACAGTAACAACAAAAAACCACCCACAGAATCTGAACCTACTCAAGCCTAGGGTCAGACGCTCAACTGACACGGTACACCGAGGACAAAGGACACCGTAGCAGAGACGGTGGGAGACTCCATGGGCAGACCGGGTTCTTCAACAAATAAACTGCAGTAAGAGGACGAGGGAGAGTCTACAGATCAAAGGAGATTTAGAGACATATCAACAAATCATAATACGTGGATCTTCTCCTAAATCAAACAAACTAAAAAACTAGAGACAGATGGACAACTGGAAATTTGAACCCTGACTGCTTGATGATACTAAGGAATTACTGCTATTTTTAAAATGATAATGGTGTCGAGATTATGTTTAATAATAAAAAAAGAGCACCTATCTTTAGATATCTGCTTCCAAATAATAAAGGAGAGAAAAATGAGTGAGGGCACAGATGAAGCACAAAAACGAAACACTGACCACAAACGGCCAATAACTGTCGAAGCTAGATGCCTGCTTGGGGATCTATTACAATATTGTGACTACTTTTATACGTCTGAAATTTTCCAAAATAAAGAGTCATCTAAAAGATCAAATTTTTGATCATCTGGAATGTATACTAATGTAAAGAACGAGTAGAGGTCACTTATTACACAGGCTGTCTTGCCCACTCATCTGAAATGCCACCTTTATCACATACCAAAACCCCAGTACACTGGGCTACATTTTCGGCCCCTTGATTTTGTTCCATTCATTTGTCTGACTAGTTCTTGCCAGTATAAACTATTTTCACAGCTGTAACCTTATAGCACAGCACGCAGCAGGCCACTCTATCAAGTTTGGACTTTATCCTGTAAGTAATGGGAAGCCACTGAGGACTTTCAGCACAAATTTCAGCAGCAAGTCCTCCACCCACTGGTCTCTACTTCCACTGCCACCATCTCCCCTCATCTGCACTTCCATCCTGGCCCAGCTACAATCCATTCTCTATAAAGCTAAGTCATCTTTTTAACATTCAATCAACAAACGGGGTGATGAAAATGTTCTAAAATTGATTGTGACGATGGTTCCACAATTCTGTGAATATACTAAAAAACACTGAATAGCACACTGGAACTGGGTAAATTGTAAGGCATGTGAATTATATCTCAATAAAGCTTTTACTCCTCCATGTGTCTGTCCGTTTGTCATACTGTGGGAGCTTCTGTGTTGCTGTGATGCTGGAAGCTATGCCACCAGTATTCAAATACCAGCAGGGTACCCATGGAGGTCAGGTTTCAGCTGAGCTTCCAGACTAAGACAGACTAGGAAGAAAGACCTGGCGGTCTACTTCTGAAAAGAATTAGCCAGTGAAAATCTTATAAATAGCAGTGGAACACTGTTTGATATAGTGCCGGAAGATGAGCCCCTCAGGTTGGAAGGCAATCAAAAGACGACTGGGGAAGAGCTGCCTTCTGAAAGTAGTCGATCTTAATGATATGGATGGAGTCAAGCTTTTGGGACCTTCACTTACTGATGTGGCATGACTCAACATGAGAAGAAACAGCTGCAAACATCCATTAATAATCAGAACACTGAATGTACCAAGTATGAATTTAGGAAAACTGGAAATCATCAAACATGAAACAGTACACATAGACATCAATATCTTAGGCATTAGTGAGCTGAAATGGACTGGTATTGGCCATTTTGAATTGGACAATCATAGGGTCTACTATGCCAGGAACGACAACTTGAAGAGGAATAGCTTTGCATTCATCATCAAAAAGAACATCTCAGTACAATGTTGTTAGTGATAGGATAATATCCATATGCTTACAAGGAAGACCAGTTAATACAACTATTATTCACATTTATGCACCAACCCCTAAGGCCAAAGTAGAAGAAACTGAAGATTTTTACCAACTTCTGCAATCTGAAATTGAATGGACATGCAAATCAGGATGCACTGACAATTACTGGTGATGGGAATAGGTAAGTTGGAAACAAAGAAGGATCAGCAGTTGGAAAATATGGCCTTGGTAACAGAAATGATGTCGGAGATTGCATGATAGAATTTTGCAAGACCAATGACTTCTTCATTGCAAGTATCTTTTTTCAACACATCAATGGTGACTATATATGTGGACTTTGCAGGATGGAATGCACAGGAATCAAATCAAATACATCTGTGGAAAAGAGATGATGGAAAAGCTCAATATCATCAGTTAGAAAAACGCCAAGGGCTGACTGCGGAAAAGATCATCAACTGATCATATGCAAGTTCAAGTTGAAACTGAAGAAAATTAAAATAAGTCCGCGAGAGCCAAAGTACAACCCTGAGTATAAGCCACTTGAATTTAGAGAATTTCTCAAAAATAGATTTCACGTGTTGAACACTAATGACCGAAGACCAGACGAGTTGTGGAATGACATCAAGGACTTCAGACACGAAGAAAGCAAGAGGTTATTAAAAAGATGGGAAAGAAAGAAAAGACCAAAATAGATGTCTGAAGAGACTCTGAAACTTGCTCTTGAATGCTGAGTAGCTAAACCAAAAGGAAGAAATGATGGAGTAAAAGAGCTGAACAGAAGATTTCAAAGGGCAGCTTGAGAAGACAAAGTAAACTATTCTCATGACATGTGCAAAGAGCTGGACATAGAAAACCAAAAGGGAAGAACACGCTCGGCATTTCTCAAGCTGAGTGAACTGAAGAAAAAAATTCAAGCCTTGAGTTGCAGTACTGGAGGATTCTGCAGGGAAAATATTAAATGATGCAGGAAGCATCAAAAGAAGATGGAATACATACAGTTACTGTGCCAATAAAAATTGGTCAGTGTTTAATCATTTCAGGAAGTAGCATACGATCAGGAACCGATGGTACTGAAGGAAGAAGTGCAAGCTGCACTGAAGGCACTGGTGAAAAACAAGGCTCCCAGAACTGACAGAATACCACTTGAGATGTTTCAGCAAGCAGAAGAAGCACTGGAAGTGCTCACTTGTCTACACCAAGAAATTCAGAGGACAGTTACCTGGCCAACTGACTGGAAGACATCCATATTTATGCCTATTCTGAAGAAAACGGATCCAACAGAATGTGGAAATTATCGAACGATATCATTAATATCACACGCAAGTAAAAATTTTGCTGAAGATCATTCAAAAGCAGCTGCAGCACTTTATCGACAGGGAACTGTCAGAAATTCTAGCCGGAATCAGAAGATGAGGTGGAACAAGGGATATCATTGCTGATGTCAGATAGATCTTGGCTGAAAGCAGAGAATACCAGAAAGATGTTTACCTGTGTTTTATTGATTGTGTGGCTCATAACAAATTATGGATAACATTGTGAAGAATGGGAATTCAAGAACATTTGATTGTGCTCATGAGCAATCTATACATAGATCAAGAGGCAGTCGTTAGAACAGAACAAGGGGATAATGCATGGTTTAAAGTCAGGAAAGGTGTGCGTCAGGGTTGGATCCTTTCACCATACTTATTCAATCTGTATGCTGAGCAAATAATCTGAGAAGCTGGACTATATGAAGAAGAACGGGGCGTCAGGATTGGAGGAAGACTCATTAACAACCTGCAAATGCAGATGACACAACCTTGCTTGCTGAAAGTGAAGAGGACTTGAAGCCCTTACTGATGAAGATCAAAGACCACAGCCTTCAGTACGGATTACACCTCAACATAAAGAAAACAAAAATCCTCACAACTGGACCAATAAGCAACATCATATATAAACAGAGAAAAGATTGAAGTTGTCAAGGATTTTGTTTTACTCGGATCCACAATCAACACCCGTGGAAGCAGCAGTCAGGAAATCAAAAGACGTACTGCATTGGGCAAAATGGCTCCAAAAGACCTCTTTAAAGTGTTAAAAAGCAAAGATGTCACCTCAAAGACTGAAGCGTACTTGATTCAAGCCATGGTGTTTTCAGTCGCCTCATATGCATGTGGAAGCTGGACGATGAATAAGGAAGACCAAAAAAGAACTCATGTCTTTCAATTATGGTGTTGGTGAAGAATACTGAATATGTTCTTTTGGACTGCCAAAAGAACAAACAAATCTGTCTTAGAAGAAGTACAATCAGAATGCTCCTTAGAAGCAAGCATGGCGAGACTAGGTCTCACAGACTTCGGACATGTTATCAGGAAGGATCAATCCCTGGAGAAGGACATCATGCTTAGTAAAGCAGAGGGTCAGAGAAAAAGAGGACGACTCTCAATGAGATGGACTGACACAGTGGCTGCAACAATGGGCTCAAGCCTAAAAACGACTGTGAGAAGGGTGTAGGTCCGGGTAGTGCTTCATTCTGTTGTACATACGGTTGCTATCAGTAGAAACAGACTGGACAGCACCTAACAACAACAACAAAGCTTTTACTAAAAAAAAAAAAAAAAAAAGTACAGTCCTGGCTCATAAAATGGACACAGTGAGAATGTGAACTTGTTGCGTTTGCCGTCTCTTCAAGACCTGAGAGGAGGTGTCAGACGGCCAGTTGGGTCAACAGTCTCAAGGTCAGAGAAGGGACACGCCTGAGGCACGAAAGCCATGAAGTCGATGAGGTGATCGTGGGAGTGAATATGGAGGCAGGCAAGGAGGCATGCTGGGAAAAGACTGGACAAGATGTTAAGCCAGCAAAGAGGGCAAGAAAGTGAGCGATGGGAGGAAATCAGTACCAGCAGTGCGGGGTGATACTGAGCGTCCACAGAACTGGCCTTCACAGCAACACAAGTGTAACTGCCACCTGACTGGCAGCGGATCAGTGAGTGGGCAGAGGCTGACCACTGCAGTGTAAGGGGAGGGGGTGACGCAGCCTGATTGACATTGCTAGTCAAAATATGAGTTTAAATAACTGACGCTTTTAACCAAGCGTAAGTATTTATGTTCCCTTCAGTTCACAAACGCAGCTCAGATATCTCTAAGTGACTCACAATATTTATTAACAGTTCTAGATATCCGAGCAATAGCATTCATACCATAAAATTCTTACAAAGAATATTTTTAATAATCAAGGCAAGGAAGATGTGTTAGAAGTTCTTTGGAGAGAAGGAAAATGATATAGGTCAGAAAATCAGATCTACATAATGAGTGTTCCAGAAGGAATAAATGAAGATAAAATCTTTTAATTTTCTTTTTCTGAACAGATAACAGTTTGTTTACAATAATAACAACAATATTTTCGATGATTATGGCTTACAGATAAGGGAAATGTACGACTGCAGTGATACAAGGGACGGGAAGAGGAAGCAGAAGCCCTCTGCCCCAAGGCACCTGCACTACCTGTGAAGCAGTAGAGAGGTATCTGAGAGTGGACTTAGGCTCCTTGTAAATGTATATGGCAAACTTCAGGGCAACCACAAAAAAAAAAAAAAATTTTAAAGAAGTATAATGGATAGGCTAAGAGAGGAGAGAAAATGGAATCCTACAAAATGCCCAATTAAACCAGAGAAGGCAAAAAAAGAGTGGAAGACAAAAAAATAAAATAACAACGGCAAAGATAATAAATACAAAACAGTTACAAATATGGTAGATATGAATCCAACTATATCAATAATCATTTTATATGTGAATGGTCTACGTACCCCAAGTAAAAGACAGAGACTGTCAGAGTGGATAAAAAAACGAGACCCAAATGTATGCTGTCTACAAGAAACCCACCTTCAATGTAAAGGCACAGATACAAAGGAAAGAGATGGGGAAAGACGCCAGGCTAACACCCATCAAAAGAAAGCTGGAGTAGCTGTACTGATTTCCGACAAAGCTGACTTTAGACCGAGGGAAATTATCAGGGACAGAGGGGCTTTATATAATGAAGAAGCGGCCGATTCTCCAAGACATAACAATCCTGAATGTGTACGGGCCTAACAAGAGAGTGTCAGGATTCGTGAGGCAAAAGCTGACAGAGCTGCAGGGAACAGACAAACCCGCTGTTACAGCGAGGATCAGGGAAGGAACGCAAATTCCAAACCTTGACTGGACTTCGCTCCATTACTTTCTTTCTCACTTTGCTCAGGATATTTCAAGCTTCTGTAGCTTCTAAAAGATGGTTTTTAAAAATTAAATTCAGACTACATGAAACAGAAAAATAAAATACGGGTTCAAAAGCTCAGCATTCCTTAGTGCTCACCAGGTTTCCTCTCGAATGCGGAGCTGATCAGCACCAGAGCCGTGTTCACTTCCTCCATGGAAGAGGCCCCGTGACTGCCGCTCTCAGACATGCCGTGATCCCCACAGAGAACCAGCAAACCGGGGAGAAGAGCCTCCCGCTCCTGTAAGTCAGAGGAAAACACTTCCAGTGCCTTCAGCCTGATGAGAACACACGCTCTTGTTGACAAAACCACCTCAGATTCTAGTTCACTTTATAAGTAGCTCTTTACAAATGAATCACATTTTTTTTTCCTGTGAGCTTACCACCAGATCAAAGGATTAAGGTCAAACAACATCGCAGATGGAACAAATTGGAATGGCATGTGTTCGCGCTGATGTCAGCCAGGCCCTGGATGCAGGACTTGGGTTTGACTTCTGTTTCTGCCCCTTCTGAGCTATGGACCTTGGGCACTGCGCTCCGCGTGCCTCAGTTTCCCCCTCTGCCCAGTGGAGAGGCTAACAGGATCTATCTTGCCATGTTGTTGTGAGGATTAAAACAAAAACCACATGCGAAGAGCTCAGAGCCTGCTCACCCCCAGCAACCCTGCTCTGCTCACGGAGCTCTGGGTTCCAGCCACGCTGGCCTTTGCCACTCCCTGAACAAGCCCCTCCCTGGACACACTCCCTCCTTGGACACAACCCTGCCTGGACACACCCCTCCTTCAACACACTCCTCCCTGGACACACACCCTTTCTTGGACACACCCCTCCTTCAACACGCCCCTCCCTAGACACACACCCTTTCTTGGACACACCCCTCCTTCAACACACCCCTCCCTAGATGCACACCCTCCCTGGACATGCCCATCAGGCACCTGTTTGCCTGGAACCTCCTTCGCAGACTCAAGAGCACCTACCTCCTCCCCTCCAAGTCCCTGCTCACACCCCACGCCTCCTCAAGGAAGTCTCCCCTTGCTTCTGTTCTCCACGGCACCAACCACTTGCTAGCACATTTACTTACTGCTACCTAATTACATATTATGCTTCTTGTTTTATCTGTCATGCCTTGCTAGGAGGTCAGCTATGTAAGCGCAGAGAAGTCTGTGCTACTGAAGTGACCCAAGTGCCCAGAATAGTAACAGGGACACAGACGGTACCAGACAAACACTTGCTGAACGAATGGATGGATGGAGACTGTAACGGGCCTACCCTGTAAGACTGCTGGGAAGACTGAACGATCGAGTGCAGGCAGCAGGCTGGAGCAGCCTGGCACGTGGCCTAAGGTCCGTAAACAGGCGTGAGAGCAGCTTCCCTCTCGGGGTGACTGAGCGCATTTCAACAGTTCCCTTTTTCCTAGGAACGCCACAATGGAAGCTCTGTCCCTACACGCCACGAATGGCACCTCACCTTCGAGAGCAGCGCCATGTGGATCTTCATGAGGACACTGTCCATCTCACGGAGCTTGTGCCCAATCAGGGGGCTGTCCGGCCCCGAGAGGTGGCCAATGTGGTCCAGCCCCAGGTAGTGCAGGATCAACACGTCCCAGTCTTCTCTCGTCAGGACCTTCTCCAGATGCCTTGTGACGTTGTCATCGACCTTGAAAGTACGTACGGGCGCTCACCTAACGCCCCCTTGGTCTGTACTCCCCAAAGCAAAACTGCGTACAGG